CTGACTTTATAGATGATTTAAACTTAGGCTCAGAGAAGTAATTTGTCACAGTCATAAAGGAAGATAAATGCCTGAGCCAAGATTCAAACTCCCATGTAGTTCCAAAGCCCATGATCTTGTCAACAAGGAATTAGAGTTGTTTGATTTTCCTCCCCAGAATTACCTAGGCACTTTACAAATCAATTTTATAATCAATGAAAGGCTTAGTATGATGAACTAGAAACACTGACTAGAGTTAGAAGACCTACCATCTGCATTGAGCTTTCCAGTGAGTCTATAAAGAAGGCATTTAACTATACCAAGTTGATCAGTCAAATGAGATAAATGAACTAGAACAATCCCCAAGGTCCCTGTAACATTCTGCAGGTCAGCATTCTCCTCCCCCTTTCTGGGTATTTCCCAGGAGAAAGCATATAACGTACAGCCTCCAGAATTCTGAGAAAATAAATTTCTGTTATTTGAGCCACCCAGTCTATAGTACTTTATTATGGAAACTCAAGCAAATTAATGCAATAGGTACCAGGATATCTACTAACTGTACAGGCTTGCCTCAAGCTTAAGAATGAGAAAAAAGAACCCTTGTGCACTATTGGTGGGAATACACATTGGTGCAGTCAATATGGAAAAACAGTATAGAGATTCCTTAAAAACTAAAAAGTGAGATTATAAAAGGATAGAAAAAGAAGGTGCCTGGAACATAGTGTGTGATTAATCACTTATAATAGCTGTTATTTGGTTGAAGCACTTGAAATGGCTGATATTTGATTTTTTTTCTGTTTTATCAAATGGCAATTTCATATGGCTTAGCCTAATGTTAATGTTACAAAGAGACAGAGAACACAATGGTTAAGAATATGAACCAGGCTAGAGTCTTATCTCTGTCACTCACTAGCAAGTTATAAAACTTCTCTAATTCAGTTTCTTAGCTACAAAATTAAAAATAGGATGGATGAAAAAGATTAAATTAATTAATCAATGCAAAACTCTTAGATTAATGCCTGATACTTAGTCCTCAATAAATGTAATGTTATTGATATTATTAATAATGAAGGTGGTACATTTGAAAATCTCTACAATTCCAACATCCAATCCAATGCAGTTCTGGATGGTGTTGATAGAAGAGAATTAATTACATAGTGGCCATTTAGCTGTAAAAAACAAAGAGGTTAAACATTAAGTGCTAAAATAAAACAACTTGAATGCTGAAAATATGTTATCTTGGGAATAAATCAATAATGTTCCTTAACTTCTTAAATTGCTAAACATCTTTAAATATTTGACATAGGATGAAAAGCTGGGAGTCTATTAAGTATGGAGTTTAATATGTTTTTTGTTGATTTTTGTTTTGTTTTGTTTTTTTAGGAAATAGTTCACTGATTTTTAGAGAGAGAAGGGAGAGAAACCTCAATGTGAGAGCACATGTACTGTCTGCCATCTGCACGCCCCCTACTGGGGAATCAAGCAGGTAATCTCCTGGCGCACAGGAGGACACCCAAGGACCTGGGCCACACCAGCCAGGGCTAATATGTTCTTGACAGATTCATAGAGCTGTTCATTATAACAGGCTAACTATTGCACTGACAGGATCAACAGACCAAAATGGTAACAAACCCACTAATTCAGTGGGTGATAGTTGGCAAATCACTTCAATCTCATTTTTCTATTTGGGTAAATGAGGAAGAAATCAATAATATCAAAGCTCTCTTCCAAAGTTAAAATTTTATGAGTATCTATCCTAAAGAAATTAGGAATATAATTATTGCATCAAGGTAATGTAACCCATTTCACCTGTCAATAAATAGGAAGTAAATTGTTTTCAATGAGCAGAATGTTAAAATAACAGGAAACAAAAAAATACACTTAGTTAAAAAATATCCTGAATTTAAACCACAGTATTCTGTGCAATAAAAGAGAAAAAGTTAATGATCAAGCCTTTTCTGAAATTGACAGTAGGCATATATTCCTTCTCAGCAGAATTAAAGCTGCTAGGACAGCAGTGAAACCAATACCGACTTAAAATCCTAGGTCCATTTGTCCACAGGCTCCAATCTCTGACCTTAAGAAACTCACATGATATTAGATTTCTGTCTCTGAAATTTGCTAATTATGGTATAACTCCTAGGATTCTTAGAGGGTAAATTAGTTAATGTTTCTAAGTCACTTAAAGGATAATGATTGACCATAGAAAGATCATCAGAAAAAAAAAGAAAAAGAAAAGAAACAATACTTAAGGCTCACAACATTCTTCCAATTAACATAGGTAGCTCAGTAAGAGCTTAAAATAAAAGAAGAAAAGAAAAGATCTTTATGACCTCGTAGTAGATCTAAAATAATAATTGCAAAACAGAGCAAAAAAAAAAAAAAAAAAATGCATTCTCATCATGGCATCATAAGAATAACTAGGTTAAAATGGAACAGTCCATACACATATGTTAGTTTTGGTGGAAAGATATAAAACCAAGACACATTCAATCTGGTGCCATAAAACTCATTATCTTCTCAAGTTAAAATGTTTATATCAATGAAATGATATCTTTAATGGTTAAAAAGTCAGAAATACAACTCAAGTAGATGAACATGAATATGAAGGTTTCTGTAGATAGCATAATCAGTTAAATTGCTTTGACATTTCAAAATATTTAAGAAACTTAATTTCTCAGAGTTGGTCACAATTCATTAGTACTTTCCATTCAAGTACAAGCAACTACATTTCCAATACTTGAAAATAACTAAATCAAAAACAGATTTCATCATAAGTAATCAATGATATGTTTTATTTAAAAAGTAATGTTGCCCCAATAAATTTAATTTCTAAAATAGTTGCTGTGGGAAGATGAAGTTATTGTTCAGTTTGTTTGTTTGGATGTTGTTTTGGCTTCCTTAAAAGACCTTTTTCCCTTAAGATAATTGTAAGATTCCAATATTCACAGCATGTCATAATTAAACATCTTCTAGGAAGTACACAGTCTGATTAGCACATTAACTCAGGCATAAACCAGCCGTGACCACATTGCCTCCAGGTTTGGATCAAACCAGTCTGGGATAAAACAATCATGATGAAAATTTATACTAAAACCTATTAATTCCAACATTATTTTATCTCTCATCACCAGTTCTTATGAATTTTTATTTTTTATTAATCCTCACCTAAGGAAAAATTTCCATTGATTTTTACATAGAGTGAAAGGGAGGGAGGAGGGAGACAGAGAGAGAAGCATCAATGTAAGGGAGACACATTGATTAGTTGCCTCCCACGCAACCCGTCAGGGATCAAACCTGCAACCCAGGTATGTGCCCTTGACTTGGAATCAAACCCAAGACCTTTCAGGCTGCAGGCTGATGCTCTAGCTGCTGAGCCAAAGAGGTCAAGGTGATCCTCTCATGAAATTTTTTTAATCCTTAATTTTGTTGTGAGAACAGCCTCCTAGCCTACTAGTAATGAAAATGGACACTTCAGTTCTGAAAATCAAATACCTTTACCTTCATTCTCAAAGGGTTCCACCACCAGATTAGGGAAAAAGTCAGAGATGTGTTTATAGTTGCATGCCAGGAATTACAGCCCACAACTTCCTCTTTAGTATCAGCTGCTAATTTGAAGAGGGGGAGTAGAAGGAATACCCATATTCTGATGCCTTTTTGTTGTACTGATTGGTGGCTAGTCGTTTGTTTTTAAGCAGAATGAGTGCATACGGCCATGAAGGTGGGAATATCTTCCTCACAGTCTAGTCTTGTGCTGTTCAAAATGGCGGCCACTAGCCACACATGGCTATTGAGCATGTAAAATCAATTAGAGCCACCAAGGAATTAAATTTTTAATCTAATAAATTTTATTGAATTGAATTAAAATTTAAAAGCTGATACTCATCTCTGTTATTGGAAAAGCTTTAACTATGTTTGGAGCAACCTGGGTATGTGAATCCACTATATTATCTGTAAAAGTTTCTGAAATCAAAACATAGGTCAAGTTTTTTCTGTTGAAAATTTAGTGACTGTATTGTGATGTGCATGATTCAAAGAATTAATAGGCAAAAATAGTGTAAAATATCTCATTAATAATTTTTAAATTTTGATCACATGTCGAAACTTCAATCTATTATAATACTTTGTATTATTTTAAATAAAACATATTCTTAAAGTTAATGCCACTGGCTTCTTCTTACTTTTTAAATGTACTACCGGGAAATTTTAAATTACTTATGACTCATATTTCTATTGGACAGCATTAATAAAGAGTAATAATATTAACCAGTGGCAGAAGTATCTGAGATGGACCAGTGAAGTGGTTTAGAAAATATGTGTAGTGTAAGCAAAAAACAAAAGGCCAGACAGCAGTACAGTCAAATCCAGCTCTGAGGGACTTAAGCAAGTCATTCTGCTTCCTTAGCCTATATTTCCCCACATATAATATGGAAGAATAGTTTACAGGCTTAAACAAAATATTGTAAAGTACCCAGTGTATCATCAGTTTAAATAAATAATTGAATAAATTAGTTGTTTTGCAATAGAAAGTAGAGGTTTCAGATAACTACTAAAAATTAACTGCTTCTCAATGTCAATGAATACTGCATCAGACATATATTTTGTGAGAACTGGCAGTAAAAGGAAATACTGCAGAAGTCCTCTGAATAAGCTTATGGGCAGGCTGAAGTCCTGAGAAAAGTAAAAGCCTGTCATCTGTTGGTCCTCCTGGTAAAGCAGATCCTTCAGGGCACTTTGCCGCTAGCTGACAACAGACAGAACTTTTCTCAGGCACTACCAGCTCCTCTGACAGTTTAATCCACTTCACTCCAGCAGATATTATCTTTGATTCTTAAAAGAGTCAGTTATTTTAATCCAGACAAGTTTAAATGATAAACCAGGAAAACTTGACCACTTTAGAGATTAATATGTTTTAGTGAACCACCAATGTGTCTTTAATGAATGGAAGAACTGACCAAGGGTTGTAGCAAGGGCCTGCCTACATTAAAGGCATTCCACCAGGTCACCCAACTCCTACTTACCCCCAGCATCTGGTGGAGGTAGTGATACTCTGGCCCTTGATTATACTTCAGGAAGGATTTCCAGAACAGTAGGACGTTCAGGGAAAGCCAGATAAGCTAAATCATACAAAAAGGAAAGAGAAAACAAAAAGTAAACATAAACATTACCTGATGAATGGAAACCTTAAGTACATTCCTTGGACACCACACTTTCAATGGAATCTCAATTAGTAATTGAAGAAAGCAATCTGAAAACCACTCCAAGAAAAACAAATCTGACCTCACTCAGTCCCTAAAAGTAAACATTTGGGTTGTCAACTGGACTCCTGCATGATTTGCAGACATCCCTTGCAGTACAAAGTGGGACTAAAAACTTGGCGACATCACCATGTCCCAGACGCTGTATATTGTTAAAAATACAACATCAAGCAGAAGCTGGGGGAAGCGCAAAGAAGGGAAGATGTTTCAAGGGTTAAGAAAAAGCTGTGTTCATTAGAGGGATCCCTTCTCCCTTCCTCTACATCTGCTGGCTCTCCCATCAGTGTGTAGGAAAGTTCTCAGGCATTGGGAGGAACGGTGGGATCGTTATCATTTCCAGGTATCAACAGCGGAAAGTTGTATTAGTTGAGAATATTCCGATTAGAGGCAAAACTTCCACTTCCAGCTTCCCACTCGCGCACGCTCAGACAATAAATCAAAATCTCTACACAAGAGACAAAACGCGGGGACAGCCTCGCCCGCCATCCTACCAGGCAGAGGTGTTTAACCCCTTCGTTGGCCAGCCAGCTCCTCCAGGACACAGCCATGCCGCCGGCCCGCCGCGCTGAGCTCGCCGCCGGCCGGCCGAGAAGGTGCGGCGGCGGCCGGGGCAGCGGTAGCAGTAGCGTGGGTGTGGGCGGGTCGGGACGGAGCGGGGAGGGCGGTGGTCAAAGACTGAGTGGAAGGCCGGAGGCCGGCGCGGAGCCAGCCCGGGCGGGGTCTGCGCCCCGGAGCCGGGTCTTCCGGGCGCCGCGGCTCCGGGCCGCGCCGGGTCTCCGCTGCCCTCTGGGCGGCCCGGCCCGCGCCCCGAGCGCACGCTCCCCGGCCCCGCGGCCCGAGCTGCGCCAGGCTGCACCGCCGCGCGGCCCCTTTGTCTGGCGGCGAGCCTGTTGTGTGGCTGCTGCTGCTCAGGATGTCCTGGCTGGGAACTGGGAGGCGTCCCGCAGCCCAGCCTGCCAGCTCCGAAAGACAAAGATGTGAAGAAAGAGACTCATACTTTCAGTGCGGACCCTGGCCTCCCTTCCCGTGCACACACACACACACCTAGTTCTTTGGGACAGGTCGTTTTCTCCGGGTAAAAAAGTTCTACTCAAAGCACTTTAGTAAGGAAATTAAGGCCGGAAATACCCTTTTGTGTATGAGGGTCCCCGTTCTCCGCCCACGCTCAGCATCTCATCCCACCGTCAAACACCCCTTCACAACCCACACCTAAAGCCTCTCTACCCCTCTGCTCTACCCCCATCCCTGCTCCTACCCACACCGCTGCAAAGCTTTTAAGATAATTTGAATAAAACGAGCCCAGAGGATTAATGGTTAAAGATGACGTAATTCTCAGGGGCTTTAGGGAAGCTCAGATTTACTCTATTTAGGAATTTGCATTTTACTACCTAGTATTGAAGTCTGTTTAGTAACAGGAATCCTCCGAAACTCCTATCAGACAGAGGCCAGGAGAAGGTGAGAAGAGTGTGGGACTGACACAGGGCACCTGTCTTATGCTGCAAAATATCTGTTAGGGAGGAGAGAAAATCATTCACAAATAAGAATATCCGATGAAAAATAAGTGTTCAATAACTTAAATCGGGAACTTCTCAACTGATAACTCACAAGTGGCAGAAAAGGTAAATCATTAGTAACCTAATCTCATGGCTTTCAAGCTTTTTTTTTTAGTCCTCACCTGAGGATATTTTTTTATTTATTTTCAGATAGAGTGGAAGGAATGAAGGAAGGGAGAGAGAGAGACAGAAATACCGATGTGAGAGAGACACATGGACTGGCTGCCTCCTATCAGGACGAACCACAAAGGAGATGTGCCCTTGATCTAAATCAGTCTGACTCATTGGTCCGCAGGCCAATGTTCTAACCGCTGAGTCAAACTGGCCAGAGCTCTTTTTTTTTTTTTTTTTAAGCAAAATACATTTTACAACACATGCCATAATATATAATTGAAACTAAAATTTCATAAAATCATACTTCCTTTACCAAATACAATGTTCTTATCTCAATTAATTTCATGAAATGATTAATGACTGATTCAATTCAAAAACTGAATGATTCATATCAAATCCCAGTTATACCAGCAGGTGTGGCTCAGTTGTTGAGCTTCGACCCATGCACCAAGAGGTCTCTGGTTCAATTTCTGATCAGGGCTCATGCCCAGATGGTGGGCCAAATCCCCAGTGGGGAACATACAGGAGGCAGCCAATCGATGTTCCTCTCATTGATGTTTCTATCTCTCTGCCTCTCACTTCCTCTCTCTCTAAAATCAATAAAGAAAAAAAAAACTTAAATCCCATTTATATTTCACCCAGTGCTCTTTCTAATAGTCTGTCCCTCTTTTTGATATATGACTTTCCTGTTTCATGCATGATCACATCTTGAAAACTGCCTCAAATCTTCCTGGAGTAAGGGAGCACATTATTTATAAATAACTCCCTGTTCTTGTTAACCATGTAATACCTAAAAGGCCAGAAAAAGAGCGCACAGAGAACCCAAGGAGTAGCACCACTGAAGGAAGTTCGAATTCTGGGACACAAATTACACCCTCAAAAAGTAACCATTCCAGAGCCATAATCTCAATAGATAGGAGGTGGGGAGGGTCTAAAAAAGTTTTTGGTTCTTGTCATGAATTGAGAGGAGTGAAGCAATGGAAGAATAGTAGAATAAAAGATAATGTAGTTCAGCTACTTTCAGGAGAAAAAAAAGAGTCTACTTCTTACTGTGTACATAAGTGTCAAGCACTGTCCTTACTTCATATACAAAATCTCACTTAATTCTCACAAAAGTCATGTGGATAAGGACACTGAAGCTAAAAGAGATTAAGAAACTTTCTTGAGAGGGTAGGGGAAATGTTGGTCAAAGGGTACAAACTTTCAGTAATAAAACGAATAAGTTCAGGAAACCTAATGCACAACATGATTATAGTTAACAAAACTGTATTATATACTTGAAAATGGAGAAGAGAGTAGATCTTAAATGTTCTCACCACAAAGAAAAAAAAAAAGAAAAGAAAAGAAACGGTAACTATGTGGGGTGATAGAAGTGTTGACCAAAGCTAGGATGGCAATCATTCCACAATATATTTGTATAAAATCAGCACAATGTTACATGTCAATTATCCCAATAAAGCTGAAAAAAATATACATTAACTGGAACAATAACATTGCAATAAAGATAAAAATAAATAAATAAAAAGAGAAAAGACACTTGCCTGAAATGGTAAAATAGTATTTGCTTATGGCTCAAAGAACCCATAATCAGATACTTTTGTGAAACCCTTTTGTAAAATGGCAGAGTGTTAAACAAAGGTTGATTGTAAACTTATCCCTATTATCTTATAGGCGCTCTGTAAAAGGGGCCCAGGATCTGATGGTTTCTATTGCCTTACAGGGAAACAATACTGCAAGCTGTCTCCAAGAGACAGAGCTAGTGTCTTGTTATGCAGGAACTCTCATTATTGAGTTTCTTTTCAATATAATTTTCTCTAGGCCAGATGGTTTAGTACTGTCTTTTCGAAGATGGGGAGGACTGTCCTTGACAGCAATGAGGAGAGAGTTCTGAAGCTATATCAGTATTCCAAAATGCATAATGAAAAAGAATCACACTTTTGTCAGGAAAAGACTTCATAGGAAAAAAAAAATCAAATGACAAAAACCTTTGCTCTTGGTTGAAATTATGGATGGTAACTTTATCATCCTATGCTGATAATAAACTCTGGGAGTTAGAGATATGGTTGATCTATTGCTTATTGCTCAATAAACACAAAAGCTTTCTCTTTTTGGTAGACAGTGTCCTTCAACATATAAAAACCATGGAGAAAAAATTGATAAATGTTTGCCCTTTCTGCCTGCTTTTGTTACTCTGCTTCCTTATTTGTCAACTCAGAGGCATATTTTTCTCATGAAGCTTTTCCTAACTTACTTCTCCTCCATCTCACACAGACTCTTCCTGTCATCTCTGCATTCTTTAGTGTGTTCCAAATCCACTATCCAATGATGGCTACAGAACAGAAAGAGTTCCTCTGCCTGGAGCTAGAAGAGCCAAACAGTGAACATGAAGAACTGCAGTGGAGAACTATTGGCTATTTGATTATGAATGGTGCTACCCAGGAGAACAAGAGGCTAACGCTCCAAAGCCCAAACTCCCAGATGGATGACATGTAGGTTACAGATTACAGTCATCCCTCGCCAATTCGCGCTTCGACTTGCATGGCTTCACTCTATCACGGTTTTTTCAAATATATTCATTAAAAAGTTGATTGAGACAATGAAAATGATACAGCGTGCACTCGGTTGTCTGAGTTAATTAAACACCCCTGTATTACAATTAAAATTAAAATTACTGTACGTATGGACTGTAGGCCTGTGTAATCGAGCACCCCAGGAATCCTTCAACGCAGGTGCAAACGCTAGAGTCTGGACCAGATTAACAGCGATAAATGAGAGACAACTGCATATAGGGCAAAATCACAAGACACAATGGGTTAGGGGTTTCAGGGTCATGTTGGGAGCTGATTGGTCAGAGGTGATGTAAAAGAGTAATAATCATTTCTTCAGGTCTTAAGGACAATTCTGAGGTCTTTTCTGGGTGTCTCTGTTCCATCTCAAGAGAAAGAAGCTAGGAATCATTCCACATTAGGACTCAGTAGTTGAAACATAACATAGGCCAAGATGTTATCTTTAGCCTGCCAGTGGTCTGGACCACATGACCACAGTCAGGTATCAGCTTTTGTCTTCTGCTGGGTATGGGGTGGGAAGCACTGGCTAATTACCCAGGGACAGGCTGGGTCTCTGAGGGGTATATATATTGACAGAGAGAGAGATTATTTCTAGACGTTAGATTTAAAGCTAAATTTAAAGTCATAAGGACCTTCAGTTTTATGATCATCACTGCATTTTCTACATAATAATTTATAATATTTTAATTGTATGTATATGTGCATTTACTTCCCCTCATCAACTGATCTTCTCAAGGACAAGGATCCTGTCTTATTCATTTTTAATTCAAGACTTAGAACAAAGATTGATACACAGCAAGAACTTACAGAATGTTTATTCAATAAATGAATAGTAGTTAAGTACATTGTCCTTCCTCCTGTGCCTCTCAAACTCCAGTTTCTCAAGTGTAAGTTTTTAGTAATGTAAGAAAAGTTTCTGCTCAACTTGATAATAATTAACTAGCAGAAAAGGACTCATGGGGCAAGGACCCCTTCATACGGAGTCACCTACAGCACAGGTCACAGGATATGCTTTTGAGACAAGTGAGGACCTCTGTTAGTTTCCTGCAGCTGCGGTAACTAATTATCACTAATTGGGAGGCTTAAAACAACAAAACTGCATTCTCTCACAGTTCCAGAGGACAGAAGACTGAAATAAGACTACTGGATCCAAATCAAGGTGGTGACCGGGCCACACTCCTTCCTAAGACTCTAAGGGAGAATCTGTGCCTTGACTCTTCCCGATCCTGGGGCTGCTGACATACCTTGACTTGTGGCTGCATCTTTCCATTCGCTGCCTCAGTGGTCACACTGTCTTCTCCTCTTCTATCTGTATGTACATCAAATCACCATCTACCTCTCTTACAAGGACACTTGTGATTGTAGTTAGGGTTCACCCAGATAATCCAAAATAATTTCCCCAGGTCCAGATCCTTGACTTAATCACACCTGCAAAACCTCCTTTTTC